GGGAAACCCCAAAATCCTGGGAAACCCCAACATCTGGGAAACCCCAGAACCCCGGGAAACCCCAAAATCCTGGGAAACCCCAACATCTGGGAAACCCCAGAATCCTGGGACATCCCAAAATCCTGGGACACCCCAGAATCCTGGGGAACCCCAAAATTTAGGAAACCCCAAAATCCTGGGAAACCCCAAAATCCTGGGACACCCCAAATTCCTAGGCTTGGAAAGCCCCAAGTTCTGCGAGGCCGTGAGTAAGACCCCAGCCGGGCCGGGAAAAGTCGGGATTTGGGTGAAATTCCACCAAATCCTGAAAGAACAAAACGCCGCAGATCCGCGGCTGCCGCGGAGCCAGGGAAGGGCCGGAGCACCCGGTTTTCCCACTTTTCCCTTCCCAGCGGGCTGCACATCCTGGAGGAGGCTGCGGGGACCCTAAAAAGGAGGATTTAAAAAAAAAAATAAAAATAAGGAGAGGGCGTGGGCGCCTCGGCAGCGCCTGGAGAGGGAGGAAAGCAAAGGGATGATAAAATCCGGGCAGGGGACAGGTCCTGCCGGGCTGGTGGCACCTCTGGCACCGCGGCTCGGCCGCAGTCTGCTCCCGGATTTCACAACGGGAATGATTATTTATCGTTCCCCCGGTGGAAACGAAGCAGAAAGGTGTGGCGGTAATTGGAGGCAGGAAATGTGTCAGGTCGGGGTGATGGGGATGGGGGCAAAGGGGAGATGGGGCTGCCCGGAGCTCTGGCTGGGAGCGTGGGGACACCGCTGTGACACCGCTGTGACACCGCCGCGACAATTCCTGAGGCGTGAGCCAGCCCCTGGGCGAGCCTCTGGAATGTTCTGGAGGGGAACGATGCGGGTGAGGGGCACGATGCCCACCCTGGAGGTCACTGCGGTGGCTTTTGGGGTTTAGGGTGAAGGGGGAAAATGGTGAACCTGACTCCGCGGTTTTAGGAGGTTAATTTGTTATTTTATGATTGTTATGTGCTAGAATAATCTATAATTAATGTTAGGGAATATTAAAGAATGCTACTCCAAAGCTATACTGAAGAATATAGAAAAAGGATACAAATTATTATAATAATTTGTTATTTTATTATTATATTTTAGAACAATCTATAATTAATACTAGAGAATATTAAAGAATGCTACATTAAAACTATAGTAAAGAATATAGAAAAAGGATACAGACAAATTATTATAATAATTTGTTATTTTATTATTATATTCTAGAATAATCTATAATTAATGTTAGGGAATATTAAAGAATGCTACTCCAAAGCTACACTGAAGAATATAGAAAAAGGATACAAATTATTATAGTAAAATAATTTATTTTATTATTATATTCTAGAATAATCTATAATTAATGTTAGAGAATACTAAAGAATGCCACACTAAAGTTATACTGAAGAATACAGAAAAAGGATACAGACAAATTATTATAATAATTTATTTTATTATTATTATATTCTAGAATATAATTAATGTTATAGAATATTAAAGAATGCCACACTAAAGCTATACTAAAGAATATAGGAAAAAGATACAGACAAATTACTATAATAAAATAATTTGTTATTTTATTATTATTGTATAATAGAATAATCTATAATTAATATTAGAGAATATTAAATAATGCTACCCTAAAGCTCTAGTAAAAAATACAGAAAAAGGACACAGGCAGAAGGTTTAACAAGGATGATAAAGGAAACTCGTGGTTGATTTTTTAGAGTCTGACTCTCCTGGGTTGACTCCGTGCTGCTTTTAGCTCCCAAATTTGCTAATTTTAGCTCCCAAATTTGCCCCGAACCAGGAGCTGACACAGCTGGCCGTGGTTGGCCGTTCAGTTAAAACAATTCACGCGTCGGATAAACAATCTTCATACTCCAAGGCAGCAAACCCGCGAGGAGCTGAGGCTTCTCCTCTCCCCAAGAAAAGAAATCCCGCTGGAAAAAAAATAATTCAGGAAACATCACAAGAAAAGCCCCCTCTGCGAAGGCTGAAAAAATTAACTCAAGAAACATCACAACAAGAAAAGCAGAGGCTGAAAAAAATAATTCAAGAAACATCACGACAAGAAAAGCGGAGGCTGAAAAAAATCATTCAAGAAACATCACGCCAACAAAAGCCCCCTCTGCAAAGCCTCCCGTGGTGCTGCAGACCCCAAACGCCTCCCAAACTTTCATTTTGGGGTGGGAGGGAGCTGCACCAGGGGAACCCCGACCTCCCCGGGCTCCCCAAGGGCCGGGCCGCTGGCTGCTCGGGGCACACGCCCTGGATGCCTTGTAAAAATAAGGGCCTGGATGCGGTTGTGACATCTGCCAGGGGAGCAGGGCGATGAAAGGCCGTGATTCAGGCGTGAGCTGTTCGCCTGCAGGCTCCGGGAGGGATCCGGGAGGGATTCGGGAGCGATTCGGGAGGGATTCCCACCCTGCCGGGGTGTTGCGTCAACTCGGCCGCGAACGCCCCGCAGCATCTCGGCCCAAAGAACAGGTTTGCTTCCTTCCCCAGCCGAGATTAGGAAGAGGCCGGGGCAGAGCTGACACGTTTTTTCCGGGATGGGAGGGAGTTGCAGAGGTGCTGGGAGCAGGTGGAATAAATCACCTCCTGCTTTGCATCCTCAGATGCGCCCTCCCCGATAAGGCCGGCATCTGATCTCGCCATCGCATCGCTCTGGGAGACACCGGGCCTGCAATTTGAGGGGATGATTAATTATGGATGGGACTTTACCAGCCCAGGGAAGAGCCTGATCCGTCCCAGGGCAGCCGGAGAGGGCTGAGTGCTGGACAGGGCCCCGAAGCTGTGCTGACCCCTTGCGCACACCAGAACGAGTGCTTTGGGCTCAAATTAAGGATTTTATTCACCCCAAACCCTTGGACCCACCAGAACGAGTGGTTTGGGCTCAAATTAAGGATTTTATTCACCCCAAACCTGTGCTGGCCCCTTGGACCCACCAGAACGAGTGGTTTGGGCCCAAATAAAGGATTTTATTAATCTCAAAACCTGTGTCAGCCCCTTGCACCCACCAGAACGAGTGGTTTGGGCCCAAATAATGGATTTTATTCACCCCAAACCTGTGTCAGCACCAGAACAAGTGCTTTGGGCTCAAATTAAGGATTTTATTCACCCCAAACCTGTGCCGGCCCCTTGCAGCCACCAGAACGAGTGGTTTCGGCTCAAATAAAGGATTTTATTCACCCCAAACCTGAGCCAGCACCAGAACGAGTGGTTTCGGCTCAAATAAAGGATTTTATTCACCCCAAACCTGAGCCAGCACCAGAACGAGTGGTTTCGGCTCAAATAAAGGATTTTATTCACCCCAAACCTGAGCCAGCACCAGAACGAGTGGTTTAGGCTCAAATTAAGGATTTTATTCACCCCAAACCTGGGTCAGCCCCTTGCACGCACCAGAATGAGTGTTTTTGGCCCAAATTAAGGATTTTATTCGCCCCAAACCCGTGCCAGCACCAGAACGAGTGGTTTAGGCTCAAATTAAGGATTTTATTTGCCCCCAGTGCCTGGGGTTGGGTTGGAGCTGGGATGAGCGAATTTCCAGGATCAGGCGGGAATTCTGCGCCCGCTCCCCGCTGCTGGCAGCCCTCGTGCAGCCCGTGGGGTCTTTGGGGCGCTCCCCACACCCAGCCCACCACCCCAAAAACCCCGAAAGAGCCCCGGGAGGAGCCGGGGCCGCTGCGGGTCCCTGCTCGCTCCGACCCGTCCCGGTGTTGCAACCTCGGGGAACCATTTCCCAGGTAAGCCCCGCTCCGGGAACGCCCTGGGAACGTCAGGGAGGGGTGGGAGCCTCCTTAAAAACCCGGCTGGGCCGGCGGGATGGGTGCGAGGTGAGGAGAGAGCGGCGACAGCGGCTGCCACCGCCCGCGAGGTCACAGCGGCGACACACGGACACTGCGGGACCCCGGCAGGATGCAGGTGAGGCTCCCCGGGAATTCCCGGGGTGGGGAAGCCGGCCTCGGGAGCCCCGGGATGGATATTTGGCCGGGATGAGCCCCGGGGTGTGCGGCTGCAGGCTGGGAGGTGGAAATTCCTGGAATCCTTCGGGAGCGGGGCCCGGGCTGGAGGGACCGGCCGGGGTCACCGGGGGGGAACCGGGACGGGATCGGCGGCACCCGCGGAGCTTCCCTGGCGCTGGGGAGCTGGGCCTGGGGCAGCCAGAGGGGTCTGGATCCTGGGAAAGGGGATCTGCCGGTGGAAGAGGGGGATTTGTTGGTGGAAAAGGGGATTTGTTGGTGGAAAAGGGGAATTTGTTGGTGGAAAGTGGGATTTGACAGTGGAAAAGGGGGACTTTTTTGTGGAAAAGGGGGATTTTTTGGTGGAAAAGGGAATCTGCCAGTGGAAAAGGGGGATGTGCCAGTGAAAAAGCAGGATTTTTTTGGTGGAAAAAGGGGATTTGTTGGTGGAAAAGCAGGATTTGTTGGTGGAAAAGGGGAATTTGTTGGTGGAAAGTGGGATTTGACAGTGGAAAAGGGGGACTTTTTTGTGGAAAAGGGGGATTTTTTGGTGGAAAAGGGAATCTGCCAGTGGAAAAGGGCGGTTTGCAGGTGGAAAAGCAGGTTTTTTTGGTGAAAAAGGGGGATTTGTTGGTGGAAAATGGGATTTGACAGTGGAAAAGGGGGACTTTTTGGTGGAAAATCAGGATTTTTTTGGTGGAAAAGGGCGATTTGCCGCTGGAAAAGCAGGATTTGCCGGCGGGGCCAGGCAGCGCTGGGGCCGTGCTCGGCTCTGTGTCCCCGCTCTGGGCACTGGCGAGAGGGGAGGAAGGAGAGGGAGAGGAGAAAGGAGGGGTGGGAGCGAGGGGAGCTGCTGGAGACCCCCAGGCTGCCCGTCCCACCCAGCTGGGGCCGGGTCTCACCCCGGTGTCCCCGTGTGCCACCCGGCAGTGCCCCGTGCCCCCGGCTGGCCCCGGGGCCGTGCCGTGAGTCACCGGCGGAGCAGCAGCCGCGGTGCCCCAAGGACGGGCCGGGCGCTGGGGACAGGTGACACCGATGTCACTGAGCGACAGCAGGGGGTGCCGAGGGGGTTTTTGCCAAAATCCTTTGGGTTTCTGGGCTGGAATCGCTGTGAGACAGCCCCAAGGCCACCCTGGTGACAGTCCTGAGAGTTGGGGACAATCCCGAGAGTTTGGGACAGTCCCCAGCCCCGGGGTGATGGAGTGACCTCAGGACGTGGCAGCAGAGGGACAAGGATGGCGTGGGAGGACACAGGGCCACGCTGAGGCACGTGGGGACAAGGAGAGAGCGTGGCTGAGCCCGGTGTCACCTCCCTGGGGCTGGACTGGGCAGGGTCAGGCTGAGGAGAGGGGACAGCAGCCAAATTCTGGCACGGGGCAGGTCCCAGAGCGAGCAGCCGGGCTGGGGACACCCTCAGATGATGTCCCCAGAGTGGGGACAGTGCTGGGCCACCCCTCGGCGCTCAAGGTCCACGTGGCGGTGGCTGTGGCGCTCGCTGCTGTCCCCAAACCAGCGTGGAACCAGAGGGACCCACCGAGCCCAGCTGTCCCCACTCCCGGCCACCGGCGGGGCAGGAAAGAGCCAAGTCCTGCCAAGGTGACGCAGTTTCCGTGTCCTTGTCACCGGGATGTGACGGTGACCATCCTGCTGGGCCCAGCCAGCTCTTCCTGCCCGGGGACAGGAGGGGACAGGAGGGGACAGCCAGGAGGGGACCCTGAGCTGTGGAGAACGGGGCGGGGGGTGGCTCGGCAGGCCGGGACCTGCCCCGCCGGGCCGTTCCCGGAGCCGTGAAGCAACAGGAGGGCTGGCTGGTAATTCCTGCCCCATTCCTCCCTAATGAGCTCTGGGAAGCGCCGGCCGCGGCCCTGGCGCTGCTCAGCCCCGCGGCACCGGGGCCGTCATCACCGGCCCGGCCCGGCCCGGCCCGGCGGGGAATTCTGGGCTGGCGCAGGTGGCAGAGAGGATTTTTTTGGGGGTGATGTGAGTGATGAGAACCCCACCCGCGCCCGCGGGCCTTCGACGCTCCGCGGGGGATGGGTTTGTGGTGGAGACTCCCGAGGGTCTCAGCTGAACGCCGCCCCCGCAGGGAACCATGGCCGAGTGCACGGAGCTGGAATGGGCCGTGCAGGTGCTGGTGAACAACTTCGACAAGTACTCGAGCCGCTGCTGCTGCTGCAAGAACCCGCGGCGCATCAGCAAGAAGGATTTTCGGAAGATGCTCAGCCGGGAGCTCAACCACATGCTGACCGTGAGCCCGTGGGGGGCTGCGGGGCGGGGGTCTCGGGGGGGTTTCCCCTTCCCGAGCACGGCTTGAGCGGCTCCGTTCTCTCCTCAGGACACCGGGAACCGCCGCGCCGCCGACAAGCTCATCTGCGACCTGGATGAGAACAAGGACGGGCGCATCAGCTTCGAGGAGTACTGGACCTTGATAGGCGGCATCGCCAGCCCCATCGCGCAGATCATCCGCCAGCAGGAGCAGAGTGTCAAACACACCAAGTAGCCGCTGCTGGATCCATCCCGGACCCCCCCGGACCCCTCCCCGCTCCTCCACGAACCCCGCTTTGTGCCCGCCCCGAGCCTCCGGACCCCGAGGTCCCCACGAGTAGAACGGGGCAGGGGCGGGCAGCCCCCGCGGGTGGGATTTGGGGGGCAAAGCTGTGGCAGCCTCGGGGGGGTTCCTCCTTGTTCTGCCCCCCTCCTCTCAGAGGAAGAGGCTCCCGCTGCTCTGGGACGGGAATTCTGTCTGTCCTCAGCGCTGCGCCGGCAGAAATCCCAGCACGGGCAGCCCCCCCTCTGCCCTTGAGGCTCGCCCCCAAACTGGGGGGGTCTCCTTGAGCAAAGGGAGCTTTTCCCCCTGCCCGGGGGGCGGCGCGGTCCCGGCCGGGTGCCACACCGTTGTTATTTATTGCAGCAATAAAGTTCGGAGGAGCAGCGGGTGCCGCTCAGCTTTTGCCGTCGCGGGAGGGGCGGGGGGGGGGGGGGAGGGATGAGGGAGGGGGTCCCCGCCCTCCACCGCCGTGTCACGCCTTGCCTGGGCTGGCGACAAGGCCGGTCCCGAGTGCCCCGGAGCCACCACGGGGTGTCAGCACGCACCGCGGCCGCGATTGTCCCTGCAGCTCCCTCCGTGTCCCCCCCGAGTCGGGGGGGGAACATCCGCACATCCACGGCTGCCCCCACCCCAATTCCTGTCCCAGCACCCCAGCCGGGGTGGGGACAAAGCTCCGCGGGACCCCCGAGCTGGGCAGGGCGGAGCTCCCGGCGCTCTGCAGGAATCCCGGGCCCGGCAGTTTTGGCTTTTCCTGGGAATTTCCCACCGGGAAGAGACCGGGCCGTGGATCTGGAGCGCGCTGGGGGCCCCCGAGTCACGGGGTGGGGGGCGGCACCGCGGAACCGGGACCCCCCCCCTCTCGCCCCTCGGGTGCTTCCCGCTCCCGCAGCCCCCCCAGAGCAGCCCGGGGCTCCCGTGCGAGCCGAGCCGGGCTGTCCCCGTGGGAGCGGGCGGGGCCGGGCTGAGTCACGGCCGAGGAATCCCCGCGGGGCGAGGCCCGGCCGTGACTCAGCCCGGGGGGTGCGGGGCCGGGCCGGGCGCGGCTCCGCCGGGACCCGGAGATCCGGCCTCGACCCCCGTCCTTGGGGTCTCTGTGCTTTGGGACAGCCACCCCCAAGTCCTATTTTGGGGAATAATCCTGGGAATTTTCCCGCCTCCTCGTGTCCCTTTCCCAGCCCTGGAGGAGATGGGGGGACAGGGACACGTTTGTCATGCAGAGAATTTGGGGTGTTCCTTTCCCCGCGGGGGGGGGCAGCACCAACCCCCCTGTGCTGGCTGGTGCCCAGTGTGCCACCCTTGTCCCCAGTGTCACTTTGTGCCGAGGAAAACGGGCCCAGCTCAGCTCAGGGCCTGGGGGACAAGGACACGGCGGGGACATCATGGGGACACCGCGGGAGGACACGGCCCTGCCGGGCTGTGCCCACATAACCCCGGTGCCACCTCCCCAGCCCCAAACTTTGGGGGCAGTGGGATGGGTTGGGGTCAGCACCACCGGTCCTGGGGGTACCGGGGCCCCCCACAAAGCTGGGACAAGGCGGTGACACTTTTGGGGGGGCTGGTGACCCAGGGGACAATGCCAGGGCCTTGAGGGGTGACTGGCACCCCGCACCCCCTTGCTGTGGGGTCACACGGGTCATTAATGGATCACACGGCTCGTTAATGGGATCACAAAGCTCATTAATAGGATCACAGAGCTCACTCATTAATGGGATCTCACAGCTTATTAATGGGATCTTACAGCTCATTAATGGGGTCACACTGCTCACTCATTAATGGGATCTCACAGCTTGTTAATGGGATCACAGAGCTCATTAATGGATCACACAGATCACTCATTAACGGGATCACCCATCTCACTCATTAATGGGATCACACAGCTCACTCATTAACGGGATCACACAGGTCATTAATAGGATCACACAGCTCAGATCTCACAGCTCACAGAACATTAATGGGATCCCACAGCTCACTCATTAACGGGATCACACAGGTCATTAATAGGATCACACAGCTCATTAATGGGATCTCACAGCTTGTTAATGGGATCACAGAGCTCATTAATGGATCACACAGATCACTCATTAACGGGATCACCCATCTCACTCATTAATGGGATCACACAGCTCATTAATGGAATCACACAGCTCACTCATTAATGGGATCCCGCAGCTCATGAACGGGATCTCACAGCTCATTAACGGGATCACAGAACTCATTAATGAGATCACACAGCTCGTTAATGGGATCTCACAGAGCTCATTAACGGGATCTCACAGAGCTCATTAACGGGATCTCACAGCTCACTCATTTATGGATCACAGAGCTCATTAACGGGATCTCACAGAGCTCATTAACGGGATCACAGAACTCATTAATGAGATCACACAGCTCGTTAATGGGATCTCACAGAACCCATTAACGGGATCACACAGCTCATTAATGAGATCACACAGCTCGTTAGCCAAAAATGAGGCGCGGGCGAAACCCTCTCAGGGAGCAGCAGGGCGGGCCCGGGGGCTCGGGGGTGTCGCGGGGGCAGCGCCGCCCTCCCGGGGCTATAAACACCCTCCGTGCCCCGGCGCCTCATCCCGACCCCTGGGCGAGCTGATCCGCGCTGAGCCGGTGAGTCCCCGCTCCCCTTCCCCCCAAAAGCTGCCCGGGACACCCCCAAAAGCTGACGGCAGCCCCGCGTGTCCCCAGGCCGGCCATGGCGTGTCCTCTGGAGCAGGCGATGGCCCTCATGGTCACCACCTTCCACAAGTACTCGGCCAAGGAGGGCGACAAGTACAAGCTCAGCAAGGCCGAGCTCAAGGAGCTGCTCAACAAGGAGCTGCCCGTCTTCGGGAGCGTGAGTGGCCGCGGGGACGTCCCCAGGTGTCCCTCGGGGAGGGTGGAGGGACAAGGAGAGGAGCAGCCCCGGGTTCTGGGGTCTCTGAAATTCGGATGGATTCGTCCCTCAGGGAGCTCGTGCTTCCCTGGGGAAGGGGAGGCCTCGAGGGGCTCGTTTTTCCTTTAAATTTTCCTTCTAAAAAAAGTATTTTTTTTTTTTTTTTTTAAAACCCACGGAAATATTTGGTTCGGCAAAGGAAATCACGCTCCGATTTCCATTTTTTTTTTCATCATTTCTTTTTTAAACCCTCACTTCCCTTTCTTGGCTTGTGGTTTCAACCGGGAGGCGATTTTTATTTATTTATTTATTTATTTATTTTTGCTAAATTTTTCCACCTCCGGGAGGCACTTTTGCTAATTTTGGCACTGCCCAGCTCACCCTAACCTGCAGCTGCCGAGGCCAAAAACCCTCCCTGAGGCAGAGAAGGGGAGAGGGGCGGGAAGGAGCAGCCCCTCCCCCCCCGAACCCTCCCCCCAAACCCTCTCCCCCGGCAGAAACAAATGGACGAGGCCGAGTTCAGGCGGCTGATGAACGACCTGGACCACAACAAGGACAGCGAGGTGGATTTCAAGGAGTACGTTTGCTTCCTGGCCTGCATCACCATGGGCTTCAACGAGTTCTTCAAGGACGACCCCAGCAAGCAGCACCGCAGGAAGTGACCCCTGAATGACCCCGGAATGACCCCGGAATGACCCCCAGAGTCACCCCTGGAGTGACCCCCGAGTGACCCCTCCCCGTGCCCATCCCAGCCCTGAGTGGCTTTCAATAAAAGCTTTTCCCTGATCCTGCCTCAGCTCTGGGGTTCTGTTCAGGTTTTATCCCAATCCTGGCTCAGTTCTGGGGCTCTGTTCAGCTTCTCCCCAATCCTGGCCATGCTCCAGGGCTCTGTTCAGGTTTTCCCTCAATCCCAGCTCAGTTCTGGGGCTCTGTTCAGGTTTTCCCTCAATCCCAGCTCAGTTCTGGGGCTCTGTTCAGGTTTTCCCCCAATCCTGGCTCACTTCTGGGGCTCTGTTCAGGTTCTCCCCCAGTCCCAGCTCAGTTCTGGGGCTCTGTTCAGGTTCTCCCCCAGTCCCAGCTCAGTTCTGGGGCTCTGTTCAGCTTCTCCCCAATCCCGGCCATGCTCCAGGGCTCT